GAAATCGTTGTTTTTTTTTAAGTGCGAGAGAAAACGAAAGGGTTTTTTTCGTAGGGGGTTTATTTATCGATTCGGTAGGCAGGTAGGTAGGTAGGTAGGTACGTAGGTAAACCTTCCAAAAAGAGCTTATCGATCGTTTCCAAATCGAAAATTCTCGAAATCAAAACGGAAATCACGTAACGGTGTCAATTTTAAACGTGTCGAACATAACGACGAAGTGTTACGCGATATGAGAGTTGAGTGTAATCAACTTTTTCGTTTTTTTTTTTTTTTGCTAACGAAGACAATCAAATTAACGAATGAGAATAATAATAAAACGTCGGACATGACGTTAATAAAAAAAAAACATTCTTCGGTTGTCATTGTTTAAAAAACGTAATTATTTAATAAACAATAACAACAACAACAAACTTCTTGTTGATGTTGAAATTTAGGCTCGAAGGAAGAAAAAAAAAAAATTTTTTTTTAATTTAAATAAAAGAAGAACGTTGATTGCGTTTGTTAATAATGTGAGAATGGGTCTTTGTAAAATGAGTATTGATGAATTTTCCCGCGGTTTCATAGAAGGCTGTGCTTTTTTTTTGCTTTTTTCACGAGCGCGAAGGGTTGTTTGTTGTTTGTTTTCGCGTCGAAGATTGATTTCACGTCGAAATACTCATGAAGTGGCAGCAGACGAATATGGCAAGATAATTAAAAAATTATTTGTTTCCGTTTTGACTTTTTTTTTTCGATGCTATTTGAAACCACCCGATAAATTTAACTCCATAACCGACGTCGCGAAGTTTTTTCAGGGACTTGTTCCAGGAGGAACAAGAGGGGGAGAAGGTTCCAGGAGGAGGAGGGGGAGGTTTTTACCGGACTGTACAGAAATTACGAAAGTTTTCCCGATGTGATGTTTTTTTTTTTCCGTTTCGAATTCGTAAATTTTTTTAATCTGCGTACGTAAAACAATTGGTAATATTATCATTATCATTGAACGAATTTCCAGTTTGTTTGTTTGTTTATTTGTTTGTTCGTTTGTTCGTTCCAATTTCAAACTGATTTATGAGTCCGCCGTCCTTTCAATGCCTGACAGTTGGTTTCCCTCCCTGACATTTACATTCTCATACGCGTATTTATTTATGAATTATTATCATTATTATTATTATTATTATTATTATCATTTTCGTTACCGCCTCTGAGAATTCGGGAGAAAATTTTCGGCCGGGTGGACGTCACGGAATTTTAAAATTTTTTTAAAAAAAATTAATTTTCCAGAAAAAATGTTTAATGAGGTTTAAAAAATAGGCGGATTTTTTTTTTCATCTCGTTTTTCTTCTTCTTCTTTTTCTTTTTCTTTTCCTTTTGGTTTAAATGGGGCGGCGAAGGCGTCGACGACGACGACCTTACGAGTTTTTATTTAAAGATAGAAAAAGTTTTTCCGAGTACCGCCAAAATATCCGACCTCGATGTCGGCGGTTTCGATAATAAGGTTAAATTTTTTGTGCGTGTGCGTGTGCGACTTTCCACCTTTCTCGAATCGGGTGTCGGTTTTTAAAAATAAAATTTCTGGAATTTTCTTTATTATTTTTCCCTTTTGAAAAAAAGGACGAGGAAAAACTGACAAAAGTGGGACGCGGCGGTAGCGGGGGGGCGGCGGGAGAGAGAGAGAAAAAGTTTGTCGTTTTAAGGTTTTTTTTTTTTACGATGCAAACTCGCGAGTTGTTGTCATCGTCATCGTCGTCGTCGTGTCTGCAGATGTAAAATAATTTTTACGACGACGTGGCACAAAGTTTTTTTTCTTATCTTTTTGCGGTTTTTTCGTCGATTTTCTATCGTTGAAGTTTACATTGAAAAAAAAAAAAAAAAAAAACAAAATAGGCCATCACATCCGGTTTATCTTTGGCGTCCTCGCGTTCCACTTTTTTTTTTTTCGTAAAACGATTTTCCCTTGCTAAAATTTGCCGTAAATAAATTGCCTTCGTTTATATTATTATTATTATTATATTATTATTGTTATTATTATTATTATTATTATTATTGTTATGTTATTGTTTGAATTGGGTCGTTTGTGTGTGTTAGGTTGGTTTTCCGTTTCCTTCCTTTTCGTTTTTCGCTTGAATGATAACGAAAAAGAAAAAAAAAACAATGAAAACGTTTGTTTTTGTTTGCCCTCTCTCTCTCTCTCTCTCTCTCTCTCTCTCTCTCTCGTGAGAAAACCATCCAAAAAAAATTTTTTTTTTGTGATTAAAGACAATGGAATTTTTGCCGCGAAAATAAAAAACGAACAAACAAAGGTCAAGGAAAGGAGAAAAAGAGAAAGAAGAAGAAGAAAAACGAAATTTAGGAAAAAAAAATTTTTTCTAAACGTTTTTAATTGCGTTTAACAGATGTTGGTTGTCCTTCCCTTTTCTCTCTCTCTCTCTCTCTTCCCTTTTTTTTTCTCTCTAAGCAGAAGATATTTTTATTAGTTTTCTACCGTCGGTGGTTGTTCTTCTTCGGCTTCTTCGTTTTGAAAAAAGTTCCGACGGTTTTTTTTTTTTTTTTTTAATAAATGATTTTCCAGGAAACTTGGAACGAATTTGATAACGGCTGGAGAAAAAACTCATCTCTCTTTCTCTCTCTTTCTTTCCATGTCACTCTCTCTCTTTGATTTTTTACGTATGGATTTTTTCCGGTGTTGGATTGAATTACCGTCGGAATGATTTTTTAAAATATTCACGCGGTTACTTATTAAAGGAAGAAGAGAAGTGAAAAAAAAAGATGGCCGCCGCCGAAGAATTGAAAAACCTTGAAAATGATTTTTTTTTGTTCGGTCAACGTTTTCTTAACGGAAAAGCATCGGGGAAAAATGCATCGTCGGTCGTGTATTCAAATGTCTTTTTCATCGTGACACGTTATAATTATTCTTTTTAATGGGCTAATTAGGGAAGAGGAAATAATAATAATAATAATAATAATAATAATGATATTCGGACGACAAACGAAATTATTGACCGCCGAGTCGCGGGGTAAAGAAACTGAAGATTGCGAAGGAAAGGAAGAATGGCGGGAAGAGAACGGAAGGTCATTAAAGGAAAATCCTACGGGAGAGGGAAGGGGAGGGGAGAGGACCGGGAGAGGAGGAGACAAGAAGGGAAGGGCGAGAGAAGACCGGGAGAGGAGGAGGAAGAAGTAAAAAAAAAAAAAAATTGAAATGTTTGTGTTGTGTGTGTTAATGTTCGTTTATTCTCTCTCTCTCTTTTTCTCTCTCTCACTCTCTCTGTCTTTCTGTATCTCTCTTTTCTCTCTCTATCTCTTTTCTCTCATTTTTATCTGTTTGTTTGTTCTCTGATGGGTTTATCATCATCATCATCATAGATTATAAAGAAATCTATCTATCACCTTATCTTTCACTCCCTCTCTTTCTCTCCCTTTCTCTCTGTCTCTCTCTTTAGAATGAATCGCTATATCAGACGACATATTAATAATAATGATGATAATCGAATTAGTCGAAATGTTGTCTTACTGTCGTCAAAACGTGTCCGATTGGCGGTGGTGGTTGTTGAGAAGGAAAAAAAGGAAAAAAAAACGGAAGAAAATATTTTTTTTAAATTATTCAAATTTTTTTTCAAGTCGGATTTTTTGCTGCGGTAAATAATAAATAAAAAAACAACGCAAAAACATTATTATTATTATTATTATTATTATTATTATCATTATTATTAATATCGTCATTTAAAACAAATTTGCTTTCGTTTATTTGTTTGTTTGTATGTTTGTTCGTTTGCTTGTTTCACTATTGACCACCGGTTGAACGTTTGTTTTTTTTTCTTTCTTTCTTCTTCTGTTTTCTCTTATTCGTAATACGTTTGTTGTACATGTTTAATTATTATTATTATTATTTGTTTTGCGTCGTTAAAATTATTCGCAAAAAAAAAAAAAATGGCGGCGACGATTGAAGATTTCGTCACGACGAAAATCGTTGTCGAATTTAAACAAAAAAAGAAAAATGATTTCCCAGTACTTTGGCAAGTTTTCTCAATAATTAAAGTGTCAGAAGAATGAAAATGACATTGAAATGAAATAATAATAATAATGATGATAATGATAATAGTAGTAGTAGAAATTTTTTTTTCAGGTTTTATTTTGTTGATTGGTTAAAATCGATAAATTCAGGTTCTAATTATATTTTCAATAATCAAACGTGATGAGACGAAATCAATTAGCAGAAGACGGAGGAAAAAAAAATTAATCGTGATTTTTTCTCTCTCTTCGACGTTGCCATTTCCTCCATTTTCAATTATTATCATCATCATCATCATTATCGTTATATTTCGCATGCATAATTCGTTCGTTCGTTTGTTCGCACAGTCATCCGTTCGATTTTCGATAAAATGATCGAAACGAGAAAAAAAATTTTATTGAAACGTTCGAAACCTGAATTGTTGAGAAAAATCGTTCGGTCTTTTTCAGCAGACGACGTTCTCACGTCTAAACGTAAGTTTTGTTCCCTCCGAATGTTGAATTTTCGCGATAGTTTCGAAACGAACGTGAAAAATTCCATATAACATCCCCCCCCCCGCGTAAAGGTCGAATAGGGGAGGATTCGGGGGCGGGATCGGAAATAGCAAGCCTGACTCTCCTCCCCCTGGATGAAGAAAAGTAACGCGATGATACCAATTCGGTGGTTGTTTTATTCCATGGAGAAATATTTCGACACCGGTTTTTGCCATATTTTTCCATCTTTGTCGACGTCGACGACGACGACGACGATAACTCCCGTCGGCGACATTTTAATATTCTTTACGCAAAAAAAAAAAAAAAAAAAAAATAATCCGGACTTATATGGTCGTTCGTTTTCTTTTTTTTTTTTTTTCTCGAACGTTTCATCATCATCATCATGATTATTATTATTATCGTTATGAAGGCGTCGAGAGATTTCATTTATTATTATTATTATTTTCTTTTAAATCGTTTTCAGTTTGTTCGAATCAATCGAATCGTAATCACGGATTTTGTTTTTTTTTGTTTATTTTCAGAACCGGGTACCAGCGATGGAACGGGTACTACCTCTGCCGGACACGCCATAGCAAGTTCGCCAGTTAACAAAAGAAGAGTTTTTAGCGGGTAAGTAAAAGAAAAAAAAATGACAAAAATTTTATTTTTCTTTCTCTCTTTCTCTCTTTTCCGAATTTCCGGTTTTCCTTTCATCTCCTCTCCGAGGGTTTTTTTGATCCTTTTTCCTTTCACTTGTCGTCACCTTGAATCCGAGGTCTTCTTCGTAATTGTAAAACTTTTTGTTTTAATTGTGCAAATTTGTTAATGACTAATTGTTAGTTAGATGGCTAACTAGTCGGTGACGTTAGGCTTCTGCTATTGTGAAGCATAACCATTTAGGTCGATATTATCGTTTTGATTCGTTGAAACAAAAAAAAAAACGGGGGGGCGGAGTGGTTGTTGTCAATAACTTCGACAAAGAAACAAAAAAATGTTTTTTCCAAACTGTTATTAATTTTTGTTTTTTGTCCTCCCGCAGTAGAAAATGGCTTCCGCCACCGTTGCGGAAGTTGAGTCAGGGAAAAGTAGAGAAAAACAATACTCAGGATAGGCCGCAATTGAAAAAGACTCCCTCCGATAAAAGATTCAGGTTGCCGTCCATAGAAATGGGTAACAAGCAAAGTTCAACGACGGCCGAAGAAGAATTGGAATCGTCCAACAGGTTGGAAAATGGTGAAGAAGGTGAAGAGGATGCCGTCGAACTTCCGCCTCCTATGAAACCAATACAGGAACCCTTGCTCGTACCCACGGAAGATTCGCAGGGTGAAAGGGTGAGTAAGAAAACTTTTTTTCTTTTTACACTTTACGCACCCCCCCCTCCCCCCGAGAGAAGAAAACAAACAAAAAATTTTAACTTTACGTTTGTTTGTCTTTTTTTTAGATTTCCGAACTTTCGTTGACTCATTTGGAAGGAGCTGCAGAAATCGAACAAATAGTCAAAGAAAGAATGGTTCGTGTTTAATAAATCATTATTATTATTACTATTATTATTATTATTATTATTATTATTATAACTCACATAATAATCGTTTTTATATTTACATCACGCGAGAGTAAATTTACTTTTTTTTTTTTAAAAAAAAAAAAAAAAAAGTTTCTTATCGAAGAACGAACGGGTTTTGTTATTGCATGCGTGACTAATAATTTAGGGTTTAGATAAGCTTATGGTCTGTAGGATGGTGACTAATATTGAAGCGTTTGGGTGTGCGTGTGCGCGTGCGAGGAAAATGGTCGGTTTACCTTAAAAATCTTATCTTGTTTTTTTTTTTGTTGTTGTTAAATGAATAATTATTAGAAAATTAATTTGTTTTGTTTGTTTGCTTGTTTTGGACAACAGGAACAACACACGGAAAACCGTGAGAAAAATAATACGCTTAACAGAGATGGGAAATCCGTTGGTGACGTCACAGCAACAGGAGCAGGAACGACAACGCCGACAACGGGTTCGAGCGAGACGAATAATAGTAGAAATAGCGTCGTAGACATTACAACGTCGTCTTCGTCGACGACGACGAATAATAATAATCCCGAAGATGCCATGTTGAAAAGGGATTACGTGATTCGAGAGCTAGTCGATACGGAAAAGGATTACGTTAGAGATTTAGGTTTAGTAGTTGAGGGTTACATGGCGCTCATGAGAAATCCCGATTGTGATATACCCATGCCTGAAGATTTGAAATCGGGAAAGGATAAAATGGTTTTCGGTAATATCGAAGCCATTTACGAATGGCACAAAAGGTACGTAATGTGAGAGAGAGAGATAGAGAATGTTGTAAAACCGTTTAATTATTATTATTATTTTTATCGCGAAGAACGCGGAGGACGCGTTAAACGTATTCGAGAACGTTCGGGAATGTTCGCGAAATTTTTGAATTCTCTAGGGTGTAAAAAAACCGCGAGAGCAATTAAAAAAAAAAAAGAGAGCATTTGTTTTTTTACGTTGAGAAATTCGATCCGAACAAAATTAACGTTAAATGTTTGATTATTCGAAAGGAAAAACGTGAGGGAAATATTCATTTAAGAATGGAAGGAGGAGGGTGGTAAAAAAAGATAAAAAAAAATTTAAACGGTTTCAGCGTTAGTTAGCCGGCCATTTTTGAATCGTGAAAAGTTTGCAATTTTTTTATAAATAAACTGTGAGTGTTTAATAAATAAATAAATTAATTAATTAATTAATAAAAGAAAAAGAAAAAAGAAAGACAATTTTTAAATTTATTAAATACAAAACAAAAAAAAAAAAAGGATAAAGAAAAAAACCGTGAAATACCAAGCAAAGGGAATTAAATTAATTCATTTTTTTTCCATTCCGATGACGTAATAATGGTTTTTAAGAATCACTTAAGCGTTGCCAACTTAATTTTTTTTTTTTTTGTTTCAACTTTTAACGGTTTTTCATTTTAAGCGTTGTTCAATTTGTTTATTTTAAATTCGTTTTTTTTTTTTTTTTGGTTTCTCAGTCGTTTCTTGGTGAGTTTAGAAGAATGCATCGAACATCCGGAAAAATTAGGGCCGTTATTTAAAAAATACGAAAGAAAATTACACATGTACGTCGTTTATTGTCAAAATAAACCCGTTTCGGAGTACATCGTTTCCGAATACATAGACACGTATTTCGAGGTATGATGAAAAAATCTTCTTTTTTCAAACCTTATTCCGTATCGATCGTTATATTATTATTATTATTATTATTTTTGTTTTATTGAAAAACAGGAACTTAGGCAAAAATTGGGACACAAATTAACACTAGGAGATCTATTAATAAAACCTGTACAGAGAATAATGAAATATCAATTGTTGTTGAGAGATATAGCTAAATACACACAACGAGCCGATCTCAAGTCTGAAATGGAGGATCTCAGAATTGCTTTGCAAGTCATGCACGTCGTACCTAAATCAGCCAACGACATGATGGACGTCGGAAGGTTGCAAGGTTTCGACGTGAGTTTATTTGTAAAAGAAAAGGTTTTGTGTAAATGCTAGTAGCTTTAGTTACAACCTTTTGTTTTGTTTTGCTTATCATAATAAAGGGTAAAATAACGGCTCAAGGGAAACTCCTTCTTCACGGTCTTTTAATGTGTTCGGAAGTCATGGCGGCTGCGGGTGCCAAAGCAAAAGAATTGCAAGTCTTCCTATTCGAACAGAACATAATATTCAGCGAAGCCGTGGGAAAGAAAACTCAATTCACCGATCCAATGTACATATACAAGGCTCACATACAGGTACGGGAAGGAAAGGAAAGAGATTGGATTTGTTTTCCTTTGACGTTTGTCAAAATTAAAAACGTTTGTTTTTATTTGACTTTTTTTTAAAGGTCAATAAGGCGGCACTAGACGAAACGTATTGCGACGATCCGGAGGGTGTCAAATTCGTTATTATATCAACGGATCGTAAAAAATCACCCATGGGATTCGTATGCGCGGCATCGTCACGGGAATCACGTAACGAATGGGTTACGACTATAAAAAACATGTTGCAAACTCAAAAAGACTTTTTGAAAGCCATACAATCCCCAATCGCTTACCAAAAGGAACTCACAAAGGAAACGTAAGCACTCACTCACTCACACACACTCAAACTCACACTTTAAATATATTCATTCTTTCCTTTGCGACGTTACCATACGATCGCATTTTATTCGATTGAATAATAATAATAATAATAATAATAATAATAATAATAATAATAATGATAAAAGGAAAGAAGAAAAAGGAAAAAAGGAAATCTTTTGCAAAACAGACTGAATAATTTTTTTTCTCTTCTACTACAACTACAATTGAGCAAAAGATTTTTTTTTTTTTTTTTTTTTTTATATAAAATAATTTTTCAAAACCTGTCATTCCGTACGTTTTATTTATTTTTTTTTTTTTTTGTGCTTTTTCTAAATCTAATCAGGATGGGTTTTGGGTAAATAAAAAAGGAAAAAAAAGGAAAAAAAGGAAAACTTGCCAATCGGTTTAATTTTAGTTTAAATAATATGTAATTAAAAATGAGGGAAAAAAAGAAATTTACTTTATTTATTTATTTATTTATTTACTTATTGTTGTTCTTCTTGTTGTTGTTGTTTAATAATAATAATAATAATAATAATAATTTTTTGTAATAATGATAATAATAATAATGAAAAGGAAAAGGAAAAGGAAAAGGAAAAAAGTCGCAGTTTGAGTTTTTATTAACGATTGAAAATAATTAAAAGAAAAAACGAAACGTTTATCGGTTTTGTTTGTTTGTTTTTTTTTTTAATTTTCTTCTGCTTCGAAATTTTTTTTACGTCATCAAAATGGAGGAAAATAATTTAAAAAATAAGGCTGAATAGAAAACCGGAAATAGAAGAGATAGATTTGTTTTTTTTTTTAAAGTAAAAGTGTATGAAAAAAGTTTTTATTTCCGTAATATTGTAAAGTACGTATATATATATATTTTTCATATCCGTTAAATTTGCTAGGCAAATAATAATAATAATAATAACGATGATGATAATAATAATTATTTAATAATAATAAATAGAAATTAAAAGCTTTTCGCTTCGCCATTTTGTTTTTGTAAACGTTTTAAAAAATTTTGCAATCGAAGCCAAAAAATAATAATAAATATTTAAAAAAGAAAAGACGGTTAATGTCTAATTATAAACGAAAATGGCGGCGGTGATGATGATGATGATAACATATTATGTAAATAATGTATTAATAATAATAATAATTGCGAACATATTACGGATTCATCGTTACGAAATGGTTTTTTTTTTTATAATCGTTTTGAAAATCTCTCTGTGACTCTTTATTTATTTATTTACTCTATGACGTTCGGTTTTCTTTTTTTTTTTTTTAATCCGATTCCGAACTGAGAAATTTTTTTAAATAAATTATAATAATAATGATGATGACGTACGGCAGTTGTGAAATAATATAATAATAATAATTATTATTGTATTTATAATTTGTAATTATTTAATTAATAATATTAATGATAATAATAATAAGTTTGATAAGAATGATGATGATGATGATGATTGTGGTGATTGTGGTGATGGTATTGATGATGATGATGATGATGATGATGATGTTGATTGAGATGATGATGATGATGATGAATGTGAAAAAAAAAAATAAGAAATAAAAATTGTGATAATTCTTTTTTTTTTTCTTTTTTTTTTTTTTTTGCAATTGTGTATATTTTAATGTATTTTTTTGTACATAAACCGATAATAATAATATTAATAATAATGATGATGATAGTGATAATGATAATGATGATAATGGTGATGATAAAATAGTGGAGAAAAAAAAAAATGACATTTGTATAAAAAGAAATTTTTTTTTTTATTTATTTTTTCTTTTTTTTTTTATTATTTTTAATCAAATTTGATAAATTTTATTAATTTTTAAAATGAATAATAATAATAATAATAATAATAATAATATTAATAATAATGATGATAATAATAACAAGAACAATTATTTATTTATTAATTATTTATTCGGTTTGAACTTCTTAAAAAATTTTCTACAAAAAAAAAAAAAAAAAAAATCTCATTTTAAACTGTTATAAAAAAACGACGTGGTTTTAGAAAATTTTTTATTATGTCACCGTTAATGTTGAATTTGTACATATTTAATTTTAGTTTTGTGACGTAGTTTTTGTTTGTTTTTGTCGTTGTCGTTTGTAATTTACCAAAAAAAAAAACCGTTATTTTTTTTTACTCTGTTGGAAAGCTTTCCTTTTTTTTTTGTTTGTTTGTTTGTTTGTTTTTTCATTTTTTATCACGAAATTTAAAAAAAAAAAGCACACATTATTATTATTATTATTATTTTATTTTTGTATCGTTTGCGTGCGTATATTATTTTTATTTTATTTTATTTTTATTTTTTTTTTGTTTTCGTTCTGCTTTTTGCACTTTTGTGTCCACGTCGTCGTCGTTGTCGTCGTTTTCGTTTTCGTCATACCCACACACGCACTTCCACACGCACACGAACCCATAAAAACAGTACGTCAACATTTGATTTGTGGGATCCGAGCCTACGTAAAACATTATCGAATCCCGTATCGATCCAATCATTCGGAACGGAACAAAATGCTAAAAATTTGAAAAACGATGGAAATAGTAAAACAACAGCAACAGCATCGGAAGAAAAAGAAGATGAAAAAAAAAATTGTTTGAAAATAATATCATCGTCGTCGGATTTTACGTCACAACAACATAATAATAATAATAATAACGTTCGAAGATACTCTAGAACGCCGAGTCCGACGAAAAGCAAATTGAATTTTTTAGAAAATTTTAAAAACGTTTTAGGAAGGACAAAAAATAAAAACGATGACGTCATAAATGATGAAATTTACGTTAACGGTGTTAAAATGGGTGAAAACGGTTTTGGAAACGTCGGTCCCATCGATAAAATTTCCACGGGTCGGATATGGTCACCGGAATCCCATCATATCCTACAGGTAATAAAATACAAGCCGCCATGTTTTTTTTTTTTCTATCTATCTCTATCTCTATCTTCCTCTCACTCTCGGTTTGGTGTCACTTCCGGTTCTTATTAATTAACACTTTAATTTTTCGTGATTTTTTATTTATATTAACAAAAAGGTGAGAGTTTTTTATTAAATTTATTCATTTCCGGTTTGTTTTGTTTTGTTTTTTTGTTTAAACGATTTGTTTTATTTTTGTAGAACGAGAGTGGAATTATTTTAGTACCTGGATCATTTGGAAAAGTCATATTCGATTTTAAAGCCGTTAGACCGGATGATCTTCATGTTAAAACGGGTGATCACGTGATCATCGTCGAACACAATTCGAAAAGAGGTTACCTCGTTAAACTTTATTACGAAGATGGTTTTTCAACGGGACCAGAAGGTTGGGTACCGGCTCACTGTTTATCACCACTGGTATTGTTTCTTTTTGTTTTGTTTTGTTGTTGTTTCGGTACGTCGTGACATCATACTACACGACCGGATGTTGTGTTTCAGGTCGAAAATCAAAGGAAACCCTGGTCTTTCCGGTTTCGTAAACCTCCGACGCCGACGGCCATTTTTACACCGCCGAGAGAAAAACGTCTCGACGATGCCATTTACAGAATGTCGGATTCAACGAAAAGTCTTATTTTTCAACCTGAATTAATCGAAAGGTTAAAAGATGTCGTCGTGGCATTAGGTGAAAGAGCACAGCTCACGTGTAGAATGAGACCCGTGGCGAGGTGAGTGTACAAAATTTACAATTTTTTTCTTTTCTGTTTTTTTTTTTTCTAATTCGATTGTGATTGTCACAGACCGGAAGACGTTTCCATAACTTGGAGATTCGGACCCATGGATACGAGTAGCGTGATAAGAGCAGGTGGAAGGTTTAGCATAAGGTTATCACCCGAAGGTTTTGCAACTTTATCAATTTGTCAAACACGTTCGGCCGATAATGGACAATACACGTGCACCGTTACCAATAGCGCGGGAAGCGTTTCTTCTTCTGCTTTCTTAACCATAACGAGTGAGTTTTTTGTTTTTTTTTTTTTTTTTTTTTTTTTTTAGGTGATCTAATAGTAATAATAATGATAATAATTTTTATATCAGGTCCAGAAAAATCAGACGAACCGGAAGAAGAAAGTGATACGAATTGGGAAGCGGAACAATTTCGTAAAAGATATGAAGAATTAGAAGAACTCGGAAAGGGTAGAATGTCCGTCGTGAAAGCAGCCAGAGATAGGTCGACGGGTCACGTGGTCGCTGTCAAACAAATCAATCGTAAATATCAAAGTCCGGAAGTGACGAGAGCCGAATACGAATTGTTGGCAACACTGAGACATTCTCACCTACCTCAAGCTTTGGCACTTTTTACAAACGCTCCTAATCCAAATACGGATTCGATAATAATGGAATTGTGAGTTTTCAATCAATCAATATGGACGAAAATAACAAAAATTGAAAATTTTAATCCATTTTTAAATTATTACAGAGCGAAAGAATCTTTATTCGATTTCGTCTGCCGCCACGACGAATACAGTGAGAAAACGGTTCGACGAGCTCTACGACAGCTTTTATCGGCTTTGGCTTGTTTACATCTTCACGGTGTCATGCATTTAGACGTTCGGGTAAGGTTCTTTCCCCTCCCCTCCCCTCCCCTTCCCCCCTCTCTGCTTTCGATTTATTTACTAAATTCGAGAATTTTCCTCTTCCAGCCGGAAAACATACTCGTAGACGGAAACGGAGAAATAAAATTAGTCGATTTAGGTGAGGGTGTGAGAAGGAATTCCGTACCTGGATCCGTACTACCACCCGTGAGTTTAGAATTTGCAGCACCGGAAATGGTTTTGGGTAAATCAGCAACGAGTCAATCCGACATGTGGAGCGCTGGAGTTTTCTTTTATATTTTTCTAAGGTTAATTATTATTATTATTATTTAAAAGTGTATTTAACTCACATGCGTCTAACATTTTCTCCTTTTAATTTTCCAACAGCGGCGTGTCTCCTTTCCTCGATGAAACAATCGAAGAAACCACGAGTCACATATTACAATGTGATTTTTTTTACGCTTACGAACATTTTTCAAACGTTTCGGATGAAGCCAAATCCCTTGTTTCGGCACTGTTGCAACTCGCACCGCAGCAAAGGTTAAACGCAGCCGCTTGTTTGTTGGATCCGTGGTTTCAAAGCGTGAGTAAAAAAATTTTTTTTTTTTTATGTGTTTCAATCAAAAGACGACAAACAAAACAAACAATTTTTTGTTTTTATGTTAAATTTGTTTGTCGTTTTGTAATTTTCAGGAGACGGGAAACGTTTGGAAAACGGAAAAATTAAAACGTTTCATGGAACGTCGCGTCCCAACGATGATAACCCTAACGAATTCATCTCATATATGATGACGGCCGCCATCTTTTTTTTTTACTTAACTCCCGTAAATTATTTTTTAATAAATTTATTATTATTATTATTATCACGTAATATATATATATATAGTAAAATATATTTTTTTTTAATAAGAAAAAAATTTGTTTTTTTTTTTGCTGCTGCAGCTGTTGCTGCTGTCGGGAAAAGCAAACGGGAAAAATAAATAAATTTTCTTAATATTATTTTTATATATATATATATATTTGGAAAAAAAAATACAAAAATATTTCAGGCGCACGCGCACAAAAAAAAAATTAATAATAATAATAATTTTTTTTTATATCTCTCTCACTCACTCTCACTCTCTTTCTCTCTCTCTCTCTCTCTCTTTATAATCTTAATTTTAAAAAAAAAGAATTCTTTGGCCCAACGACAAAAAAAAAATGAACACTTAATTATTTTACTGTCTTTTTCCTTCTCTCTCTCTCTCTCTTCATCTTTCTTATTATTATTATTATTATTAAAAAAATAGGTAAAGTGTAATTCTAACTAAATATAATAAAAAAAAAAACAGGTAACAACGAATACTGTTAATAATAATAATAATAATAATAATAGACAAACAAAAATTTTTTTTTTTTTTCACTTCAATTTTGCATTATTTTATTCCAATGATGAATGCTGCCATTAATTCTACGTTTATTATTATTATCTCGTACTATGTAATCTCTCGCGTCGTCAACTACGTCATCAACTACGTCACAATCATCATTTCCGTTACGATCAACATCAACATCAACATTATCATCTTCATCGCGATCGTAATCGCATCCGTCGTTTCCGTTATTTTTCACATTCAATAAACAATCGTCGCCATTGTTTAAATTTTCTTTATAAATGTCGGTCGGATCGTATTCTTTAAAAAAATTATTATTATTATTATTATTTTTAAAAGTATCATCATCATCATCATCATCATAATCATCGTAAAGGTTGTTAGAATTGATTTTCTCATTCATTTTATTATCGATTGATGATAGAAACGATTTCGATTCGATTTCGGAATCGGATTTAGTAAAACCAAACGAGGATTTATTAAAATGTAACGACATTCGTCCCAAATCTCCGGAAAAACGATTTTTGCTTATCTGAAAAAGAAAAATTAGAAAATTTTTTTAAATTTAACGGAAATCTCAATTTTCGAACGTTGATGGCGTTAGTGTCGCTTTCTTCATTACCTGTAAGTATTTTTTTTTAACGAATGAATCCGTGTCGTAATTTTGTATTATCATAACGTTATCGGCTTCCTGTGCTGCTTTCGCACCTCCGAATATAGAATTTATACTTAAATTAATACCATCCATTCCTTTTTTAGGATGCATGACGAGTGTCACGTGACAATTGAATTTGGATGCGAAACTTCTAAACGATTGTATGAGGACATCTTGTTTCCAAAATCTATCTATGCTTCCAGAATCACCGGAAACGTCTATCATGAATTGAACGTTATCTATAACGACGTGTGCTATATCGTGAACGTAAGAACAATGTTCTACGGCATCCATGACGGCACGTAGAGATTGCTGACCGTGAAATGTCATGAAATATATTGGTAACGTTTCAAATTTATCAGCCCAATAATTAAATTTATCAACGTTTTCTTCTAACGGTATTCTAGAATATTGCTGTAGCATTTTTTTAGCAAGTCTAACGTTTTTTATTTCAAAACTACCCCAAAGAGTGTTGACACCTTGTATGGCTAAATCTAATGAATATTCGCTTATGAATGTTGTTTTACCTGAACCAGTCGGACCTGTGAGAACAGTTAACTCTCCTCTCCTGTGTCCCTTCAATATTTTATTCAACGTTGGAAATCTGTTCCATTTAATGCCGGAAAATTGATCCACGTTTTGTATTTCAGATAAGATTTCTTCTCTCAAATCGCAGAAAGATATTATTGATTCATGCCATGCTGATTTTGCATTTTTCAATATGGGTAATATTTGTCCACCTTTTGAAACAACACTCGATGCTGAAATTTGTTTATCTATCGGTTTGACAATGAAACATCTTTTTTCACCTAATTTTTTAGCAAAACTACTGCTTGCATCAATCGCTTTAGCATCTCCCAACCACAGTATAATGTTTTCATACTTTTCGAAAACAGGAAGCGAACTCTGCGGTAGGTACGAATAACCGTATGGAAGACATATTATCTCTGATTTTAAATTCAATGGTAACAATGCGAAAAAATCTTTTTCCTCAGCAACAACAATGGCTGATTTTTCAGAATTGTGTGATTTTAAAACTCCTGGACAATTGGTACTGGGATACATGCTCAATTTACCATCAATTCCGATAATTTTATATCCTGCGATTGTGTTGTCGAATGTGAAAAAAGGTATGTACATGTAATTTTTACATTTCGATATTCTAATCTGTAATTTTTTCAACATGTGTTTGGGACTTTTGTTAAATTTAAAATTTTTAAAAACGTTTGAATAATTATCATCGTTTAAATCCGTTATTGGTATTGATTTGTCATAAATTTTATTCCACTCTTTCTGATAATTATATTTAAAAAAATTTCTCACGGGTTTTGAATTTGATTGAGAATAATCATTTGATAACATATTATCACAAAAATCATTCCAATCACCGTTCGAATGACATATATTGCATAGAAAATAACCAGTCGTTTTGTTTATGTATATTCCACCGTTGATTTTACCATTTTCCTCATTATTTTTACATTTGTCACAATATACACAACCTTCAATGCGAAAACAAGCGTGACCGGATGTGTATTTAATTGATTTTTCATCTAATTTTTGTACTATTTGTGATTCTTTTATTGAAAAATGACCGTCATTCGACACTTTACCGGCATCGTTTAAAAAAGTAACGCTTCTCAATAACTGACGATTTATTATATTGTTTTTGTATAATAATAATGAATTTATCGAAGGAGAATTATTTTTTAATATAGGTCGAAGTAAACTTTTCATACTGACAATCCTAATACAAAAAACAAAACAAAAACAAAACTTTTACAGATTAAATTCTTTCTTTTGTTCGATTTCGAATGTAACTTAATATGAATTTACTTTTTCTAAACACATTTTTCTATTGACACGTTTTGGCGTAATACGTTACACGGGGGGAACGAGAAAAAAAAGAAGCCTTCTGTCATCGACTTTGTCACGGTTAAAAACGTTTGAATATTTTAATAATTCGTTTGTTTGATTAAATCGGGGGGAAAAATGTGATTTATTTTATTATTTACAATTAATATTTTATTCGTAGTTTTAAAAAAATAAATTTTCAGATCGGGTAAAAAAAAAAAAAAAAAAAAAAAAAAAAATTTCAGGTGGCAGTGATAAAATTTTGTTCGTTTCCGGTGTAACAAGGTGTAACGACCTTTTGACTAAATTTTTTCATTCTTTTTTTTTTTTTTTGAAAATTTTTTTTTTTTTTATTTATTTATTTTAATTTGATTTTAATTTATTATTATTATTATGTCGACGCGTAGAAAATTAATATTTTTAATAATTGTATCGTGTAATTACGCATGATTTTAATTAAGAAACACATCAAACATGGTGTGGTTAAAATTTGTTTTTTGTTACCCAAGTGAATAATTTTTTTTCTTTTGGTTTTCGTTTTACGAATAAAACCGGTTTTAAGTTTAAAATAATGTCAAAAACTTTAATCGTTACATAAATAAATAAATAGAAAATGTATTATTATTAATACATATTTATCTATGATGTGTGTTAAACATGGATTAATATTCAACAGTTGATTGTTCTAAAGCCAAAGTTTTATTTTTTTTAATTAATATTGATTATTATTTATTTATTTAATTAATTGAAATTTTTTTTTAATAAAATAAAATGTTTTACTTATTAATTATTTTATATGGTTTATTAAATTGTTATTTGGTTGAAACAAACGATGGTTATAAGGAACCGACCATTTTCCTGGCTATATTTGCAAGAAACAAAGAAACATCATTACCGTATTTTTTAACGCTTTTACAAGATCAAGATTATCCTAAAAATAGGATAAAATTATGGATTAAAACTGATCACAATGTCGATAAAACCGTCGAAATTATTGAAACTTGGATTTCAAACGTTACTAATTTATATCATTCTGTTAATTTGACCATAGATGATGGTAATCATTTACAATTTGATGATGAAAAAGGTCCTACAAGTTGGTCATTGAAAAGATTTAAACATTTAATCGAGTTAAAAGAAAAAGCTTTGAATGTTGCAAGAGAAAACTGGGCCGATTTTATATTTGTGAGTATTTTACGGAAAAACACACAATTATATTTCGAATTCACAATTAATGTTAAAAAAATAATATTTAGTTTTTAGATTGTGATGTTTTTTTAACCGATAATGAAACATTTAAATATTTGGTGAGACAAAATCACACAGTGACAGGACCCATGTTGAAATCGATTGGATTATATTCGAATTTTTGGTGCGGCATGACATCGAAATATTATTACATGAGAACGGATGATTATAAACCGATATTGAAAAGAGAGAAAAAAGGTTGTTTCAATGTTCCAATGATTCATTCAGCTCTTATTATTAATCTCAATAAATATGAATCTGATTATTTGACATTTAACAGCAGTAAAATAAAAAATTACAATGGACCAATAGATGACATTATAACATTCGCATTATCCGCTAATTATTCTGGTGAGTTTGAAATATGCATTTATTTATTATTATTATTATTATTATTATTGGAAATGGAAATTTCAAAAAAAAAAGAACATAATTAAGTAATGTTATTAATGTTTATCTCCCTTAGAGTGTTTTAGGCATTTGACCCATTTCAACTTAATAATTTTTTTATTCATTTAATGATAAGCAATTAAAAAAAATTATTTGCTTGAATTAAAATTTTGTTTTAATTTATTTTATAAAAAAAAAAAAAAAAAAAAGAAAAACATTTGATTATCATCATCATTATTTTTATTTTATTGATTCGATTAAAAAAAAAAATTTTTTTGTTTGCAGGTGTGAGTTTACACGTTTGCAATGAAAAATTATTCGGGTATGTAACACTGCCATTAGAAGCACATGAACCGTTGGATTATGATAAAATAATAATGAAAAATTTAAAAGTTGAAATATTAGTCGATAATCCACCATTGAAAGTAAATGATATATTTAATTCTTACATACCTGAAAAAAGTTTGGATAAGTTAGGTTTCGATAAAATATACATGATCAATTTGAAGAGAAGACCTGAAAGGAGAATTCGAATGATTGAAACATTTAATGAACTCGAATTGGATGTGACTGTATTCGATGCTGTCGATGGAAGGTAGGAAACAATTTTATATTTACAATCTATTTCATTATCATCATCATCATTATTATTATTATCATCATCATATTTGTCTTATTCCCATCATCATTAATTTTTTCATTTATTACAAATGAATTAATTAATTAAATAATTAAAAATTGCAAATTTGTTTTTTTTTATTAAGAGGACAAGGGAAAAAAGCAGAAAATTTAATTATTTTAAATAATAATAATGATGATGATAATGATAATTATTAAAACCGCAATTAAAATATTGATGACTTACTATTATTATTATTATTAAATACTAAAAAATTGAAAAAATTAATTAAAGAAAAAAAAAAATTTTTAGTTAAATCATCGTCGAACGTCTCTCTCTCTCTCTCTCTCTCTCTCTCTCTCTCTCTCTCTCTCTCTCTCTCTCTCTCTCTCTCTCTCTCTCTCTCTCTCTCTCTCTCTCTCTCTCTCTCTTTCTCTCTCTCTCTCTCTCTCTCTCTCTCTCTCTCTCTCTCTCTCTCTCTCTCTCTCTCTCTTTCTCTCTCTCTCTCTCTCTCTCTCTCTCTCTCTCTCTCTCTCTCTCTCTCTCTCTCTCTCTTTCTCTTTCTTCTATCAAAAAATAATTATTATCTTTCATATTTTTTTTTTTTTTTTTTCAAAGAGACGTAAATGATTATAATTGATAAAAAAAAAATAATAATAATAAATAAAGATGAAGACGATGGTTGAACTGGAAAAATAATAATAATAATGATGATGATGATAATAATAATTTTTTTTTTTTTTCTGTTAATCTTTTCTGTGTTGTCTTCCCACGCATTAAAATTCTTCATCTTCTCTTCTCTATTTTTCGTCTTGTTTTGCTTGAATCTTAGCAGCATTTCCGGTTTGGCAACGAGAAAAAAAACTTAATTCTATGATAATGGTAGAAAAAAATAGTAATAATAATAATAATAATAATAATAATATTAATAAGTAAGCTTATGAACAATGCCGTTTGTTCTCTTACGAATGAATAAATGAGTGAATTGTTTAAAAAAAAAAAAAAAAACTATTAAAAGGAAAACAGAAATTATATATATTATAATTTTTAAGACGTAAACAAACGTTAGAGTTTGTTCTGCTTTTTAGTCACGTGATTAGTAAAATAAATATAGATATAATGTTAGTATAAATTTTTGTACATTCTTGAATGGGATAATCTGTGTTGGAATTGATCGATCGACTTTTTTGTTCTCCCAAATGGGAGAAAATATAAAACGATCACGAGTTCAAAGGTCACCGGATATTTGTTTGTTTGTTCGTTTGTTTGTTATTAGTTTCACAAATCTGTCGTTTCGGATTTTTTCATTCCATCGAAACCGTTTCTCATATTTGCCGAATTTAAATCAATGTGATTTTTCCTCGACGAACCGCTAAACATGGAAAATCTTTGACTCGTTTCCGCCAAACTGTTTCCGGCTCTTTTTAAATTATCGAAACTTCCGCATGGACAAAGTTTTCTCTTGCATTCCGCATTCATTTGCCTCGTAGCCGCCTGTAAAGGAAAATTTCAAAAAAATAAATTAGTGACTGGAAAATAGGGAAGAGAGACAGAGAGAGTGAGAGGGAGAGATACCAACTCTTATCTCGTGCATTCTCGAAGCGTAAATGAGCGGATTCAATAAATATTTGGCAATGAGCAAAAAATTAGTTATGCTGGACGATAAAATGAGATTTTTTATTCCGACGGTGTCGAATTTGAAATAACAATCGTTGCAAATCAAATAGAAATGAAGAACGGCCGGCATGAAGCAAATTATATACGTCGATAATATTAAAAGACTCGTCCAAATGGCTTTCAAATTACGATCGAATTGTTTTTGATGATCGCTTTTAGTACCTGGAGAAAAACAAAAAGAAAAAGGAATGAATTCGTTCCAGGAATTAATTTTATATACAAGGAAGGAAGGAAGAAGGAGGTGGGAAACTATCGGGAAGGAAGGAAGAAGGAGGGAAACTATCAGGAAGGAAGGAAGGAAGGAAGGGAAGGATGGAAACTATCGGGAAGGGAAGGGGAAGAAGGAGGAAACAATTGTTTTTACGCTATGGAATTACGTTTGCAAATGTTAATGAAACAAAAAAAAATTTTCATAAAAAATTTTTCAAATGAATTAAAAATGAAAGCGGGGGGAGGGGTGGGGAGGTGGGGAGGGGAGGAGAGAAACGAACGCGTTTGAAAATCGTGGAAATTTTACGACAAGTGAAAAATGCGTCGGTTTTTTCTTCTGCTTTTTCGTGTCGTAAACCGTTGAAACGGAGTTTTCTAATCCCCCGACACTCTTTTTTTTTTCTATAATTTGGTACGACTGATTGATGAATTAATGTCGCGTCGTAAAATATAAATATAATGGTATAGTAGTAGCGTAGCCTCGAAAAAGGGTAATTAATTATAAAAAAATAATAATGATAATAATAATTTATTGCGACGCGGTATCCGGTTTTTACAACTCCGACGTTTTTACTACAATTCTTGGTGGAAAATGAAGATAAAAAGGTCATTCGGAGTTGTTTGTTACTGTCGGTTCGGGTGTGTCGTCGAATTACGAAATAATAATATAAAAAAAAAAGGTACGAAAAAGGAAAAAAAGGAAAACTACGTGATTATTATATCGAATACGGTCGGTTGATTGGTGATGCGGAAACGGAAAGTTGAGACGAAAAAAGTTCCGGAACATGAGGGCGGATATGTGAAAATGACAGAGGGAAAAATCAAAAAAGGAAAATTGTAAATAATAAATATTCATACCTGTCGCGTCGTATCTTCTGGAATGCCTATTGAACCATCGTCTGCTCGCTTGATGTTTTTTAACGATGATGGAAATGTGAATGTAAATGGCAAACATCAATATGAGCGGTATGAAAAAAAGTGCTGAGAATATCGTACGAAACCGTGAGAAACGCAAAAAATTTTTCGAATCTCTGGAGAAAGAGAGAAAGAGAGTAAGAGAGAGAGAGAGAAAAAAAAAATGTCAAGAAAAAGAAAAATTTCACAGAAAGAGGAAAATTGATTTTTTTTATTTACTCTATTTGACAGTCGTCTCTTTGAAAACCTTGATTTTTGAAACTTCCGAAATATCCAAATATGTAAGCCGTCGGTGCTATCCATATGAAAACAACGACGACCGTGAGATTCGTATGCGTCAACCATCTCATGGACCGAAACGGACAAAGGATGCCGAAATAATGATTTCCCGCCAAAACCAACAAATGAGTCGTGGATATCAATATACCGGATAATCTGAAAGCTTCGAGAATGAGAAAAAGACAATCGTTGTCGACGTTAACGTTGAGTCCCTTCGGAAGGAGGCTGTTGAATATGAAACCTAAACCTATCTGAAAATCGAAAAAGAAAAAAAAAGAACGGTTGAGAAGGAGAAAGATGGAGAAAGACAGACAGAAAAACAATTGGGAGAGTTACCAATATGGCGGAACAAGTATCGGCCAAAGCAAGGCTAAGACTTATGTATAGCGTCGGCGATAGGGGTCTCCTTATCCATCTCACGCAAAATAATATTCTCGCGTTTATTATGGTCGCTACGGTGCATAGGAAAACGCAAAGGAGGGGCACGACTATGTACGTGACGCTTTGTATGTTCGACCATTGGTGATTGACGTTGGCGGCGGTCGTGACGGTCGTGGCAGTAGAACCACCGCCACCACTCGTTGAATTGTTATCTATAAATATTTGTACGTTTGTTTCGTTTGTCGATGATCTTTTCCACCTGTATTCGACATCCCAATCGTTTTTAAATGTCATGCCTGAGGAAAACGTGGGAAGAAAAAACAAAACAAACATTTAATGACCGTTATTAGGAATTCGTTTCTTTTTTCTTACTAACCGTTTTTTCGTTTCCGTTTCCGTTTTTTTAAATTTCTTCTTCTTCTTCTTCTTCTTCGTGCGGTTTTGAGACGGCGCATCTGAAAAAGAAAAAAAAAGGGGGGTATCGAATTCGTTCGTTTTTGTTTTGTCTCATTTTTATCATTATTATTATTATTATTATTATTTTTGTGATTTGGATTTCTTAATGTGTCAGATCATCACTCGTTCGTATGGCCTTTGAAAACAAAGGTAAAAGGAAAAAAGGTAGGAAGGATAAATTTGTCAAAGGAATAATAAAACTCGAGGGTCGAATGAAATTTAAAAAAAAAATTATACGTTTCGTGACGTCATTGGTTGGTGACATCCGGTTTTGTTTTTGTTTTTGTCACGTCGGTTTTATTAATAATAACAAACGCCACGAACGCCTATTTTCGTGACGTGTATCGGGCTTGATTAGAGGGGCGGAAGGAGAAAATATTAGAGAAGAGAGGAAAAGAGAGGGGGGGGGGAAAAAACAATAAATTATAAAATGAAGTTTTTTCGTGATTTTGTCATACGTGTAAATTTCTGTTGTTGTTGTCGTTGTTGTGTTTGTTGTTGTTGTTGTTGTTGTCATTGTTGTCATCCTGCGGTCGGATGGAGAAAAGGATTAAAGATTAGAGAAAGGATGATTGATTTTTGATTGTTTTTTTCTCGGTGGAATCTCTCAAATGAAGTGAAAAGAAAAAAAAATCAGAGAGACAAAGATGGAGAAAGAGAAGAGGATACACTAAATGAGAAAGAAAGAGAGAGGGAGAGATAGAAAATGTTTGTGAACAGGTTTGTCATTCATTCAAACGCGATAAAATATTGATTTATTCGTCTGAATTTGAAATGATATTGTGTTTTTAAAAAAACAACAGCAACAGCAACAACAGACAGAAGAAAACGATACACGTAATAATAAATAATTAAATAATAATAATAATAATAATTACAATTTGACGAAAACTAAAAGAGTGATAGAGGGAGAGAGAGAGAGAGAGAGAGAGAAAATAATAATTGAATGTTGAGAATGTTGGCAAAAACGTTGTTGTTGCTGTTGTTGTTATTGTTATTGTTTTCCATTTTGTTTGTTACTTCAATATTTTGTTTGTTTCTCTATGACAAAGATTTGAATCGATAAATAAATAAATGTGAACGACAGCGCCGCCACAACAACAACAGTTGATTCGTATAATTTTTTTTTTTTCTTAAAATAAATTTTGATGAAAATTGAAAAAAAGAGGAAAAATTTGTTGTTCTTCAAAATGTTTTTGAATAAGAGACATTTTGCGCTTTGCTAAATTAATTAAATAGTTCATCAAAATAAAATTTTAAAAAAGCTACGAAAATATATATATATAAATATGGGGGGGAGGGGTAATGTATGGAAAATAGAGAGAGAGAGAGAGAGGGGGGGGGGAATGAAAATAACAAAAGATAGAATGAGAGATGAAAGATTTTCGAAAGTCTTTAATCAGAGCGAAAAAAAATTTTTCTTTTCTGTTTATTTTAATTAAAAACGTCTCGTTGCCAAAATATATATATATATGTAAGTTGCTTAGCTTGTATTTAATATTAATAATAATTATCATTATTATTTTTATTGTTTCGATAAGGGGGTGAGGGGAAGATGATGATGACGTAATAAAAATCTTTTCTTTCTTTCCCCCCCCCCCACGCGAAATAAGTCTTTGGCCTTCGCTCCCATTTTCTTATTCTTTACGTTTCGGGGAGGATGAGACACAAAAGTAATAAATTTTTATTTTTTCTAATGATATAAACCTCTGCTTGTCACAATGTGACGTCTTTTATTATCATTATTATTATTATTATTATCATCATTATCATTGTTACTTTTTCAATTTAGATTAATTAGTTTCATTTTTTTCAGTGTTTTTTCTACTGTTTTTTCTGTTTTGTTTTTCTTTCATTGTACGTTTGGAAGACTATACGTGATAATAATAATAATAATAATAATAATTCTTTGAAATGTTTTGAGGGAGGGGCAAGCAGACGACGGGGCGGTTTTTTCTTTGGGAGGGGGCGGGATGTCGCGTTTTTATTAAATACAAATAAAAAAAAAAAAAAAAAAAAGAATTTTTAAAATTTAAAAAAAAATTTTTGGCGGGAGATTCATTCGAATTTTTCGCGTGATCGGTTTTAATTTGTTTAGGGTTGTTACGCTTATGTTTAGCATACGTTCGAGTACGGTTTTTTTTTTTTTTAAACAAAAAAAAGAAAGTTGTTTACTATTGAGTTTGTAATTATTTTTATTCTCACAGCCTTATATGATGAGAATTTTGTCATAGAGTAAATAAATGTTTTTTTTTTTTTGGGGGGGGGGATAATTCGAAACTCACCGACGCGATTATTTTTTTTTACTCTGTGACTCTGAACGAAAAAATCGAGGGAGAGAAAAATGTTTGAAAAAAAAAAAAATGTTTTTAAAAAAACGTTTAAGCGAGTTTAATTAGATTAAAACAAATGTGATGTTTTTAAAAAAAAACAAAATGTCGTCCGTTATTAAAAAAAATGTTCATGTTTCAATGACAAAAAATTAAGAAATTAAAAATAATGTAAAAAAAAAAAAAAATTTTTAACGTCAGACATACTCTCGCCGTTTAATTAATTCATTACCGTTAATTTTTTTTTTTTATTTAATTTTAATTTTATTCTCGTTACGGATGATTATGATGATGATGATGATGATGATGATTGTGAATTGCCGCCATTTTTTTTTTTTCGTGTCGTGAATTTAAATGGGGATAGTGAGGGGAGGGGGTGGGAAAGTTTAAAGGTTTTTTTTTTTATTTAACGTTTAACGATGTTAGTTTAAAATTGCCGGTAATAATATCATCGTCGGGGTGGTGGTGGTGGTGGTCGTGTCGGTCGGGGCCATAACAAAGACATTTAAGGGTGAAGAGAGGAAGGAGAAGGAAGGGAGGGGTGTGGGGAGAAAGAAAAGTTTTTAAAACGACATTTAAAGTCAATAAAAAAAAAAAAAAAAAAACAACGGAATTGCATAAAGTGCAAAGTTTTTTTTTATATTTATTTACTTTTATTCTTTGTTTTTAAATTTAAACGATTTTAAAATGAGTTGGGAAGGGTGAGGGGGTTAGGAAAGACAAAGGGAGAGGGGGAACGGGGGAGGGAAAGATAAGAAGGCAAAAAAACCGGAAACGCGACATCGTTTTCACATATTGTTGTTGTTGCACTTCCTCTAAAGACATTTTATTATTATTATTATTATTATTATTATTATTTTCAAGTCGTCGATTCGATTAATCTTTTATTCTATTTTATTATTATTATTATTGTTTTTTTCCTGTCATTTCGTTTGTTCGTTATTCGGTCTGTCGTTTTATTTTTTTTGTTTGTTTGTTGTTGTTGTGGTTAGAATTGCGATCAAAATCCTTTTTTGAAACATTAAATTTTTTTGATATCGAATTAAATGTTTTTTTTATATTCCAACTATTATCTATTTGGTGGATGTAAAAATTTTCTCTCTCTCTCTCTCTCTTTCTCTTTTTCCTTTTTCTTTCCTTTTTTTTTTTTGTTCAAAGGAATTTTTTTTTTTTTATTCGATGGTCGACCGACGCCCGAGATTGTTTTTACCGGAATGAATTCGGGGTGGGGATGATAAGATTGAAAAAAAAAAAAAAAATCTTTTACTAACGGAAAACGAAGAATTTATTGTATTATTATTATTATTATCATTATCATTATTATCATCGTCATCAATCATCCGTAGGCGTTTTAAATGTTTTTTATTTAATTTATGGAATTTTTTTTCCTTTTTTCCTTTTTTTTTTTTTTTTTTTTCTTTGACGTTGGCATAATTGATTTTAACGTGTGGGTTTTATTTCAAGTTAAAAAAAAGGGGGAGGGGTGAGGGGGAAAAAGGAATTTTCCAATTTGAATCTTACGAGGGCGCGGAGTAAAAACAAAGATGATAATAATAATAATAATTATTTGTTTGTTTATTTGTTTATTCTATGACTTCAAAAATCCGCCGAATCAACCAAGGGAAAATATTATTATTATTTATTTCGAATGTTTCCATCTCGGAAGGGATTTCCTATTCGTTATTATTAATATTATTATTATTATTATTATTATTATTATTATTATTATTATTATTATTATTATTATTATTATTATTATTATTATTATCACTTTTAACCCGAACAAGATTTATTCTAGAACAATCGATCGTGCTCCTATCGAAAAATGAACGGGAGAATGAATTTCCGGTAAGAGAGGGAATGTGACTTGAGGCCCCCCCCCTTGTGTGGTCTCACCGAGATAACCGAAATCGTTTCCGTTTTCACTACCCGCGTCTTGGAAAATTAAATTTTCTTATTATTATTATTATTATTATCATTTTCTTTATTCATTGATTTAGTTTAGGATTTTCTTTCTTTTTTTTTTTCTTGTATAAATAAATTTAATTTAACTCTGACCTCGGAAAATACAATTCGTACGGATTTTAATGGACCTTTATTGGGTTGGTTATATAAAAACGGGTAAAAAGTTCACGTGCGAAGTAAAATTACCATCCGAAAGGGTTAAGATGCAATAGGAGAGACTGACAGAGAGAGAGAGAGAGAGAGAGAGACGGGGAAAGTTCAGTGAGAAAGAGAGAGAGAGAGAGAGACGGGGAAAGTTAAGTGAGAAAGAGAGAGAGAGAGAGAGAGAGAGAGAGAGAGAGAGAGAGAGAGACGGGGAAAGTTAAGTGAGAAAGAGATATAGAGAAATAGTGAGAGAAAATGAGGAAAACTCATCAGCGTAACAATTTATTTATTTTCTGTTTCTTTTTCTTTTCGTTTCTTCTTCTTCATCTTCGTCCAGCATCCTGAATTTTTTTTTACTTTTTTTTTTTTAATCGTTCGTTTAATGTTAACGACGACATT